TTTTACTAGAACGCAACCACGTCCATTCAGTTGTGGATTGACTAGGGCTGCTTTCACAGAATTAAATTGTTGCAACATAGACGACACAATCTACAGTCTATAATATTCACTATCTGGCCATTTAAAGAAAGAGTTTTCTGGCAAGTAATCATTAGCTACATTTTTAATTGTTAGAATTTAAAATGAAATTCATAGGCTACACAAAACCTTGATCATGGTTGAATTAGATAATAAAATGGTGTAACTTTTTAATTACTAATCATTATCATAATTATGATTTGTATTTGGTTATCATACATCAATATTTATTATAATTCAACAAAGCATTACGCCAAATATTTTATATGCAAATTCATTTAATACACATGAAATTCATGAGCAGTAGGTCCAACTTGTAGATGAAGAAATCAAGGCTTTAAAGGATAAGTATCTTCCCAAGATGACATGGCTAGTAAGTAGAAGTGCTATGATCTAGACCCAAGTCTCTTTGAGTTCCAAATATATGTTTCTAATCTCTCCATGTTTCTCTTGTATATTTATTTGGTCAATCACTGTAAGTTTGTCTTACTAACATGATTGTTTTCCATTTAAATTATTACATATGTGCATATACACAGCAATTGTGGATTTCTTTCTTCTCTGATGCAGGATGCTATAATTAAAAATATATTAAATGAAGAGACAGAATGCCTAGGCTAGATCTAAGGTGTTGATAGGCCTACTAGCTTTATAAACTTTGCCAAGACACCTCAACTGCCTGGGACTACTTTCTTATTTACTGATCCTGATTCTGAGAGTGATAATGAGAGTCATGTTTTATAGGAATGTGATTAATGGGGGGAGGGGGGTAGAGGGGAATCAATATTATGCTATTATTCAGAAACTTGAGGTGGCAAAAGTGTTTTAACAAGTCTTCTAGATAATTCTGATGCATGCCAATATTTGAGAAAACCTGGTTTAGATTGTAACTACTTCTACTAAGATCACAAAATCAAACAGTTAAAACAAAGATCCATATTTGCATTAAAGCTCTTCTTTTCCTTCTGAAAATTACCTCCTTAGGATAATAGTAAGTATGACCATTGTTGAACAGACATGCTTTACGTCCTGACCCTCAAGAAAATACTTGCATGAAAACTAAAGCCTGTGAGGTATGAAAGAATACACTTAGAGTTGGAAGGGATGTTCAGTAAGCTGGAAAACATACAATTGAGAATGAATAAAGTATGGCCAAATTTAGGTACATCAGGAATTCTATTTCCCTGTGGCTATAGAAAGCTGGAAATAGTATTGCCTTTACTCTAATAGAAAAAACTATATAAATTAAAAATATCACAACTTTGCTGAACACATCCAAGAACTGAAGTCACTGGTCAACTAAGGAGTATCAAATCCACTGAATCTCAGGCCCATCCAAGGAGAGATGAGACATAAACATCTGCTCACAGTGACAGACTACAGAAGAAAGGAATGCTGGGTGCCATATAACTAGGTAAGAAGCATTCAGCTACAATTTTTAATGGATTGGTAAAGATCAGGTGTGAAGAGGGTAAGAGTATAAAACTCCTGGGAGCTGTAGACATGGGGAGTTTACAACCACTGAGAGACTCTTCTCCATGACCTCAATCTCCTGTTCATGAGAAAGATTGTAGGCAGAGCAGGAGATGGCCAAGTGCATTCCTGGGTGTTACAGGCTTGGAAAAGGGAATAGGTCACTGCTGTGAGCATGAAGCCCTGTTGCAACTCTTTCTGAGAAACAAAGGCCTAAGCCTCAGGGGGTGGAGCAGAAAACCCTATCACCACCAGGGCAAAGGTATAGACCTAGCGTAGCCAAAGGAAAGGTGTTAAAAAACAAAACACTTCTGCCCCTGGGGAAGTTCTGGGCACAGGTTCCTATCCCAATAACATGAGAGGTCTACTACAACTGTGAGAGGGCAAAGAAACTCTCCCATGGAAGACCAACTAGAGCCATAAGGTGGAGTTTGGTTGTCATGGAGACAAAAAATAGGACCACTGAGAAGGGCAAGCCCTCAGACGTAAAAACACAGAGCCTGTCTAAAGAAGAGGCTGTGCTAAGACAATAAAGAATCCCCAGCCCTCACTACCAGACTAGCAAGCACCAAGTAATGAGCAAATTCAGTCTACCACTGAAAAAGGAAAAAAGTGTGGAGAGGGACATAGTTCATGGTGAATATAAATGGGGAAGCTAAAGATGAAAGACAAACATTGATAAAATACCTCTTAAATCTCAGCTTCCCATCTAAGAAAAATGAATTTGAAGCCAATGTTACATTGAAGATAATCATAGGAACAAGAAAAACCAAACTCAGCTTAATTACTGACTAGATTCACTCAACAACACCCCCTCCCATATATGCACATACATTAATAGCCTAACAGAAGAGATGTGTCTACTTCCAGACATAAAGTCTCTACTATTATATACATACTGTCTGGTGTTGAATAAAAAATTACATGACACACAGAAAGGCAAGAAGAAAATATCAATGTTAAGACATAAAATAACAGAACAGACTCAAACATGACCCTTTTGTTTAAAGTATCCAACAGAATTTAAAGTAACTATGATTAATTTGTTAAAGATTCTAATGAAAATGCAGACAACATGCAAAAATAGATGGGAAATTTCAGCAAGGAGATTTTATTTTGGAATGAATTGTCCTCCCCTCAATTCACATGTCAAAACTCTAAACCCCAATGTGACTGCACTTGGAGGGAGGTCCATTAGGAAGGTAATTAAGGTTAAATGAGGTCATAAGAGTGAGACTGTAATCCCATTAGTGACCTTTTAAGAAGATGAAGAGGCACAGAGCTCTCTCTCTCTCCATGTGTAAAGGCCATGTGAGGATAGAGCAATGAAGTACCATCTACAGGCCAGTAAAAGAGGCCTTCCTAGATGCCAACACTGACAGTACCTGATCTTGAACTTCTAGTTTCCAGAACTATGAGAAAATAAATTTTTGCTGTTTTCGACATTCTATGTTATTTAGTCATGGAAGACCGAGCAGACTAATACACGTGAGAAGTATAATAATGGGTCAAATGGAAATGCTAGAGATAGAAAACATAATAAGAAAGATAAAGAATGCCTTTTACAAGTTTATCAGTAGACTTAGGATAACTGAAGAAACAATCCCAGAACTTAAAGATAGGTGCAAAGAAATTACTGAAACTTAGACTAAGAAAGAATGACAAAAAAATAACAGAGCATCCAAGAGTTATGGGGTAAAATGAAACAACCTAGTTTATATGTAATTAAAGTTCAAAAAGGTAAAGAGAGACAATAGTGCAGAAGAATTTTGTGAACAAATAATGGTTGAAAAATTTTAAAAATTCACGACAGACACCACAATACAGATGCAAGAAATTCATAGAATTCTGAGGATAAATTACCACACACACACACACACACACACACACACACACAACCCTAGATACATTGAATTCCAACTGCTGATAAAAAGAAAATCTTGAATGCAACCATAGGAAAAGGAATCATTACTTTCATGGGAATAACATTAATATTCACAACAGACTTCTTAGAAACCATGAAATTCAGAAAATAAGGAGTCAATGGTTTAAAGTGCAGACAGTAAAATAAAATCGTCATCCTAGAATTCCATACCCAATGAAAATGTCTTTAAATAGTGACACTACACAGATATACTGTACACAAAACATAAAAGGAAATTATTCAGAGAGGACTTTGATACCAGACAAAATCTGAATTTCACACTGAAAACAGTCTTCGGGAAAATCCATGTTCTCAACTCCTTTAGCTAACTGCACTGTTGAAAGGAATGCAGCCTCTATATCTCAGCCCATAGCTTCAGAGAGTGATCCTCTTAATCAGGACCTTGGACAGGACTGGAAAGCAATCAAGTTCTTACATGCTGTCATCTTAGCATCTAGCATCCTTCCAAAGACCAGCTGAAATGAATTAACGTCTTTGTTTGGAAAGTCACTAAATATTTTTCAAATATGTTGACTGCAAGGAGTTCCATACCAGGAATATGAATGCATTGGTGACTGCATTAGAGAATTTTGTTATAATATTGCAGAGAACTACAGCCTCTTTATTGCCCCCCAAAAATAACCACTAAAGGAAAGAGTTCAAACAATTTTAAAATTAACATTATGGCTGGACTGGTCTAGTAAGCTACCATGGACGGATAGCCTTATTCTCTACACAATTTCTTGTCTTTTCTTATGGCAACTGCTAGATTATTTTGAGCCTTGCTAGCTGGCATTCCTTCATGCTTCTGACAACAGCATATTGTAGAAATTTTTTAAAATTTCTATATTCCTACGATTTTATTTTTTTTTAAATTATACTCTTCATATATATTCTGTAGCCTGTAATGAAATTTAATATATACTATCAGATGACCAGGACAGAATGTGAGGCTCAAAGACTACAGGAGAGAGGACAAACATTACATTCATATTTGAATTTGTGAGAAGTCTAAGGATATCAGTATATGTCTAAAGAGGCAACTATAATGCAAAAAAGAGTATTTCATAAACCGCAACACAAAATTACCTCTATTATTAAAAATACATATGCTCTGTATATAGGGCATATAGAATGGACACAGCCAGTAGAATTTACTATGCTGTGTTTAAGTGCATACTTACTGCTGTCTTGCTGATTTTTTAATTTCTTTTTTATTTTCTCCATTTGAAAACATCACTTTCAACAATACATTAGGAAGTAAAGCTGACTGCTTTGCAGTAACTTTGGTAAAGCATCCAGGATAAGATCACTATATGAGAAGTTCATGAGTACCAGTACTATCACCTTGATTTAGAAAATCAGGGATTTGTTTCGTGTTAGTAGGAAAGCAAAAGAAAGAAAATCTGTTCCATCCGTCTTACTAACTCGATTCCATCAAATAAACGCGTATTTTACCTCGATGTGTGAGCCACGGAAGACACGGGCAATCGGCTTAATAAAAGAAGGTGACGTGCTCACTTACTAATTTGACTCGATGGCCTGGAGTGGCACTGATTTCCCATGTGCATTCCTTCCTGCTTGGGTACTTGTCTGGCCAGTTGGGACTGGTGATGAGGCCACTTGAACTGTGGATCTTCTGTTCACATTCAGCTGTGCCAGTAACAATAAGATCAATCAGTGCAGAAATCTAGCCCAGTATTGGACCAACAATAAAGCAGTTTATTTACCCACTATCCTACTGAAAGACTTTTCTGAATACTAACTAATCATCGCTCCAGTGTCTGTTATCATATTCATGTGCTTTGGCACACATGTTGCTGAGCATAATCAGGCAATGTTTGTTTTCTTGCTTTCATGAAACTAAGTGTTTACAATGAATTTTATAAATGCCTGAAAGAAAATAAGCTATTTAAAATGGTTGGATCTGTAAGTTCAGACTTTAAACGAGCAGCATATATTGACAATTAAGGATATCAACACTTGGTATGTGCAAAATATTTAATACAATGTCACAAACAAAAATCAATGGATTTTGACATTTCAATTAATTTTTTCTATAAACAGAAAGATTATTTATAGCTAATTAAGATCATTGAGCCATTTTATGAATTATGTACTTATATTTCTCTCTCTTTTAGTTGAAATATACACTTGAATACTGGATATATTTCTATCTATAAGGAAGTTTCCTATAAAATCCTTTCTTAAAAATATTTACTGTAATGAACAAACATTTATTTGCTACCTATGAGCCCTGGGCTACACGCATACTCTGCAAAAGCTGTCTCTTTTTTTTTGCTCTGAATTGTCTTCCATATCTGCAAAATGACTGGGCCTGTTCCCAAGCCTGTCAATTTCATAGATACTTTACCAAGTTACAAATATCAGAATCTCTAGGGTTCTGCATTCACACATGAAAGGGAAAAGAGGTGAAAATCTTGCTTGCCTATGATTCTGGGTCATGTCAGTAGCTCAATGAAAACATGGGGAGAAAAATAAACTCTTGACTCATGACCATATTAGAATAGAACTGAATGGAACAAGGGTCATTTCACGATACTATTTGAATGTGCATACAAACAGTTGATATCTAACTGTGGTTCTAGACAGGTACCTACCAATCCACATGTGCTAATGACACAAGCTATAAAATCTGCCTTAGTAATTCTTTCAAAATAGGCATAAATCCAAGTTAAGTAGAAAATTCAGGAGCAGACCCTCAGCAACAATGATAGCCAACATGAGCTAGATGGGCACACGGAATATGTATTTAGAAGAAGTAAAAAACTGAATAAATATTTCTTGTGCCTATCTAGCTCATATTGGGTATCATTGTTTTTATAAAATATTGAAATATTGTAAGGTCTGGGGTCCAAAACTGGTAGGCTACTGTTGTGCTACTAGTATGTTTCCTTCCTTCCTTCCTTCCTTCCTTCCTTCCTTCCTTCCTTCCTTCCTTCCTTTCTTCCTTCCTTCCTTCTCCCTTTCTTCCTTTTGCTAAAACCAAGACTTAAAACTTTAAATGGCACAGTATCTCCATTTTCAAATGCTTTCTGTCTGGTAGGCATCTGAGTTTGACTCTCCTGGTATTTAAAGTGGCATCACTCATATGGCACATATATGAGATATTTTGGGGAGGGAAACTAAACCAAATGCAAAGCCTTTAGCAGAAACTCAGCTTAAATATGTAGACTGTCAAAAGGTCTGTCCAATGAAAACCTGGGGATAACGTGGTCCTTTTCTGGCTGCCAGATGGCATCATAGCAGCAACTATGTCTGTTATACAAAGTTATTCTAATTCTACCCATGTGTGAAGTGCAGACTCTTTAGGTAATATGAGGTTTCCAATAGTTTGCCTTGGATCTTGGACCACTGCATGTGAGTGTGTGTGTGTGTGTGTGTGTGTGTGTGTGTGTGTGTATGTATATATATGACATTTGAACACTCGAAAGTGATATCACTCACTGATACAAAGAACTCTACCTGGAAGCAGTGTTTTACCCGAACGGCCTAAAATTCTAGCTGCTGTCAAGAAAAGAACACTCCTGAAATCAGAAGCATTGAATAGAGTGTGGAATCTCGGAGGGAAGACAGGGGAGGGTGGGTGGGTGGGAGTTAATCAACCAAAGACCATGTATACGAGTATACATATATGCAAAACCCATGGACATAGATAATAGGGTGGTGAAGGCTTGGGGCAGGGGACAGGGGCGGGTTGAGGGAGGTCAGTGGGGGAAGAAAAGGAGACATATAATATTTTCAACAATTAAGATTTTTTAAAAAAAAGAACACTCCCTTCATACCTTCCTTGCAGTCGTGTTTATTTTCATGCAGCACAAATCCATTCCTGCACTGACACACGTAGCTTCCCACCGTGTTGACACATTCATGTTGACACCCACCGTTATCCTTTGAGCATTCGTCTTTGTCTAGCAAAGAGATAGCCCCATAGTTTAGTAAGTAGCTTTAAAAACAAAGAATATCAAAGAACAATCATTTAGTTGCGGTTAACACAGGCAAAGGGTAAACTAAGCCACAGCTTACCCTGTTCCCAACAGAAAAAAAGGACAAAAAAACAAAAACAAAACAAATCTTAGTTCTATCCAGTCCTTGTTTAGCTTGGCGCCTTGTACCATGAATTGAGTGTCCAAGACCATTTGTGCCAGGATGAGAACTTGTAGTCCTCTTTCATTCCTGAAGTAAAAGTTTTGAGTAGGACATAGAGAAAGAACAGATCTTTTTACAACTAATTCTGAACATTTACAGTCAATATTTAAAAATAAATGTAAAACTGTGAGTAGTTTGAATAAATGCAAGATATGGCATTAAAGTAGAGAGAAATTCTTCAATATATTAACCATGGTGTTTAGATAGAGGCTAAACAAGGCTCCAAGATTTGTGTATAATCACTTGAAAAATTAGTTAGTGTAACTACTCTAGTTGATTTTTTTCATTAACATTGCAGTTAGGCTAAGTATTGATGAATCCGGACATTTCATAATATTCTAAGACAGAAAAAGGCATCAACAGACTATCCTAAAGAAGAAAGCTAATTTATATCTATTTTAAAAATCTACTCCAGCAGCCTAGTTTATTAATAAGTAATTCCTTAAAAGGGCTTTTATTGTGCTAGAAGCAAAGGTTAGAATGGGAAATATGAGCTTTGAGAAACAGCCAACAAATGCACTACAGGAACAAAAGCCAAACTAGAGTGGCAGGCAGTCAATCCAGGCAGAGGCACCATCAGCACCACATCATGTCCCTCAGCTCTTAGTCCACGGCTGGCTTGTCTGTCAAAGTCGACAGATTGCTCATGACACACATATATGATGACATGCCACTCACACTGTCATCACTCCCACACCACAGAGAACAAAAGGGACCCATGAAGTCGTATCAGGAGTTAGGCTGAATTCGTAATTTACACTGTCAACTGGTTTTCCTAAAGGGAATTTGTGAGCTCATGGTAGGTCACAAATAGCAAATACTATATGTACATTTTTATCAAATCACTATTCCCTCTATGAAGATGGGTTTAAGAAAGATGTTTTTGTCCAAGTATCTGAGAGTGATTTTTAAAGATACATCTATTTTTCCCCTTTTGGAGACTGATTGCATGGCAGAGTCCACACGGCTCCTGGCATATATTCATTGGTAATATCAGAATATTCCAGATAGAAGCAGGCAGTCCCAAAGTTTTAAAGAACATTATCAGAATCACTATCTCTATGATTTATGTGTATTCTACCTATCGTTAACAGTTTCTTACACTTTTAATATTTACTATGGAGAATAAAGAAACACATTCAAATTATAGAATAAGGAAAATTGCCTAGCATCAAACACCAATATGTATAGAAATTAGAATTTAATAGAAAATGAGCCTGGTAAAATTAATTTGAGAAATTTATAATAATTTGGAATCCCTACTCCCTTATTTGCATCAATAGTGAAAATTATAGTTTGAGTTATTAATGATTAATGCAAAACAGGTGGATGGCAAATCATACTTCCTGCCACCATGGTGGCAGCTACCTACATTTTCTAATTTAGACAGTCAAGCAGTAAATGTTCTAAATTTATTGTTTTTATGTACCTTTCCAGAGGCTCTTAAGATCCCTCACTCTCTCATGAGTGGATATAGAATACACTTCATGTTTGTTAAGTGGAAAGAGCCAATATAAAATTTTCTGGTGCCAGAGTTTCTTACTCTGCAATAGACACATATTTCCATTGAAAATGTTTATATAATGATAGCTTGTTATACTTAAAGTAAATCTGACAGAGCGAACTGTAGTTGTACTATAGGTCAACCAGACTTGAGAGATGGTTGAAAATCTAACAACTGTAAGCATTGCCTGAATCCTCCTTTTATCTGAATCTGTTTGAATAGCTATACAGAAGATATAAAACTGTTATAATTAAAAAATGAATAAACACAAGCTATTATTGCTGAGTTTTTAAATCCATAGTCATTTCATCATGAAGATAATTCTAACACAAAATAAATATTTCTAACATTGAAGCTTCATTCTGGTGGAAATCTCGTCACTAGGTTATATTTCTAAGGAGGATTTTTTCTTCAGAGTTGATAGAATATAATCTGACCTGTGGTAATGATAACTAAAGCGAAATAATGTTGAAAGTAAAACCAATCAAACTAGAATAGTGGTACTTCATAGCCAATTATTCATATGTCTGTTGTGATTGAAAAATAATAATTTAAAAATAACTTTTAGAGGAATGAGGAAAAGGAGGAAGAGCAGAAGGAGGAGAAAGAAAAAAGATTTTATATATTCATTATTGTCTAAGTATCTATTACATTTTAGTTTCCCCATTGGTTGGTGTTTCCTACCTTTGTCCCAACATCTAATGTCAATCAATATAATCAATGTTACATAAAATTAAGGATATATGCTAGAATATATGTATGGATTAATATAACGTTTAGCTTAAATTCAAAAGTGGACTAATCAAAACAGTAACTAACAGCCGCAGAGGAGTCATCATGCCCAGCAAAGTAGCGTATAAAACTGTGCCCCCATGAGTCAAATGTTCATATGAAAAGAGAAAATTTCAGTAAACATTGAAACACTTAAAATTATCCCGATGTCTTACATCATTCAGATAAAGGTATTTAACTTAATATTTCAAGTTGTCTATGAAGTAGTAAACATGGTGAGGTTATTAAAACACACACACATTTGTTTGAATAGAAGTAAATACACTATTATAAAGAAAGTGGATGTAATTTCAGAATATCTATGTTGATGAGAAATACCAACAATATAAAATACCTAATTCCACAAGTATATTCTGGATTTCTTATGCATGAAAGGTCATCAAACCAGGGCGGGGTGGGGGGTGGGGGTGGGGAAGGGCGGGAAGCTATTAGCAAACACAATTATGTTTTCACTGTTTTCCCATTTCTTCTCTTAGGACACAAATTACAAATATTTTGAACAATGAAAATCCAAAGGAGAGAACCAAGAAAGGGGCAGCATTTTAAATATTTCTCAGAATGTTTGTATAATAAACTTAGTCATTGAGAATTTGATCAATAATTAATTTGAAATTTTCTAGCATTTTCATACTGTAGGCACAAAATTTTTTAAATAGTTTTTCTATTAGTGAGAGAAATAAATGTTTTATTGAGTAGAAATAAAAACATTTATTTTTTGCAGATGGAATGAGCCTCCTTCATTGGAATGGACATATCTACTTTCCATTCTTTCATGTTAGATGAAGGACAGGCCCATTATACGAGGCAGAGCAGGTGGCATTTCCCCACAGAGGCCTGCAGAGCATCTCTGAGACTATCAGAGGCCATCAGTCTAAGAATAATACCTACTGGATGGAACTGAAGTGGCAACCTGTATCAAGTTCTTGCAAGATTCAAAAATAAAAATTTTCTCTTTGCAGAAAGCTTCTTTGTCTGTAGGAAAAAGAAGGGTCCATGCACCACAACAGAAACATTCTGTATAAGAGCAGTAAACTCCCAATAAATGCTCAAATATAAACAGACCCATGCACACTGGTGCACACACACTCCCATGCATGTGTACACACAGACATCGCATACATAGATTTTAGCACAAAACTATTGAATAAATAATCACCTTCAGAAAAGCACTACTAAGCTATGAGCTATGACAGAGACAATTTATGCTTTCTAAGATATGCAAATATTTAAATATCATTAATAATAAAAACTTATAACAGAATTCAAAATCATAGGAAAGTTTTATGTTCCCATTTGAAATTAAGCACACCAATAAAGTTTTGTTAGAATAAAATTGGGTTGAATTTCTTCTAAAATATCGATGACCATTCCATGACAGAAATAATGTATAGGAGGAACAATGTAAAGAAAAGTCTGTATATGGTGAAAGATGAATAGGGTGAGGAGCATATCAGTTTAAACCACTTCAGTTTAGCGATAGAATAACTGCACAAGTCATTTTATCTGACTCCTTTATTTACTACAGACACAACCTGGGAGTCAGGAAATCTGGGATGTATTCTATTTGTTTCACAAAGCAAGTTACTACGTCCATCAGTAACAGATTATATTCCCATTAAAGTTACCCGTGAGGAGGATTGCTTTTAAATGAGGTTTATTCTTCAAATACTAAATACTTTAAAATATTAAATCAGAATTCTTATGTGATGGTTTCTTAATTTTATGAACATAGACATGACAGGAAATTTATATTAATGATTGCTAATAAGTTCATAGAGTCATTCTTCCATTTCCCAGGCCTATACAGTGCTTTTAAAATGAAAGGTTATGTGCAAAAATAACTAACATCTCTGTATGATTATAAATATTTTCATTGTATACTGTACATTAAAAACCTAAAAAACATTTCCTTGTCTTTTTCCTTGATGCATCACAGCAGAAAGAAAGCTATTATTGACTCTAAATAGCTTTCCTCTTCACATAATATGGAATCACCTATTGTCAAATATTGTTTCTTCTTTTTATTGGCTCCTTTGATAATTGTTCTTAGAAAAAGAATTTGAAAAAATAGTTGGACATGGTATATTACTCATTATGTTTTCATAAATTCATAACCACCTCTGAAATTTTTAGAACACTGGTTACAAACAGAACCATTTAAGACTAAGTCTTCAGCCCTAGCTGGTTTGGCTCAGTGGATAGCAGTGATGGCGAAGCTATGACATGCGTGTCAGAGGTGACACGCAAACTCATTTTTTTGGTTGATTTTTCTTTGTTAAATGGCATTTAAGTATATAAAATAAATGTCAAAAATATAAGTCTTTGTTTTACTACGGTTGCAAATATCAAAAAATTTCTATATGTGACACGGCACCAAAGTTAGGGTTTTTCAAAATGCTGACACGCCGAGCTCAAAAGGTTTGCCATCACTGGGATAGAGTGTCGGCCTGTAAACGAAAGGGTCCCAGGTTCGATTCCAGCCAAGGACACATGCCTGGGTTGCGGGATCAATCCCACCCCTCCCCCAAAGTAGGGTGGGCAGGAGGCAGCCAATCAATGATTCTCTCTCATCATTGATGTTTCTATCTCTCTATCCCTCTCCCTTCCTCTTTGAAATCAATAAAAATATTTAAAAAAAGACTGTCTTTATAAAATATCTCTTGATTAACAGATACACTAGAGTAATATTTATTCAATTGTCTGTAGTAAGATAAATATTACAAATTAACTAATCAAATTAAAATTATAAAATTTAACTGAAAGTACATATTAATATTAACTTGTATTACTATTTATTAACTAATCAATAAATAGATGAATTTTAAATTTTCTTAACTCTCAATGATCAAAGTGTAGTAGGGAACGTGTGCAAGCCTAGAGATATTTTGGGCACCAGGTAGGGAGAGACATGAGATGTGTTTTTCTCCTAAAGTTATTTTTAGATTTCAATCTAATGAAAACTGAGAAAACTTGGGGAAGAACTATAATGCACCAACTCTCCATCTTAATATAAATGTTCCTGGTATTTTTGCATAGCAGTCTCAGGGTTACTCCCACTCACATCTTGGCCGTGTGCATAATGCACAGATAGTTTTCTACCGAGTTTTCCATTCATATTTTATTGTAGATAACTATTTACACATGGAATCATTAGGTTATCTTTATCATTAAATTAATACATGGCTATCTATTATTATACTTGAAGCATTATTAAAACTCAAACAATAATTTCAATGTGAGTAGCACCTATCTATTAAAATGGGTGATCTTTTGTAAATTCTGATTTTGTGAGATGATCATAATTAGGACATTAAGTAGATGATCATAATTAGGACATTAAGTAACAAGTCCTTATTAGTTAGCATTTCTTGATAGCACCACACCAGCTCTTTACTACAAATATAATGCTTTTATCTTCCCTTTTCCTAAGCAGACATATTCCCCAGAAACTTAAATGTGAAATAGATCTACTTACTTATCCGGAGAGCCACAGTATTTTAAATATGAATCTGACAAATGCCAAGGCTTTTCAATACATCAAAAAGAAAAAAAAAATACTGAAAGTTTATACTCAATGATAATTATCTTGGACTTTACAAAATAAAATCTATAAAAGGGTGAAAAGTGTATCTGGTGATTTTTTGGGTCACAAATATGTTCAGTGTAACATGTAACTAACGCCATTTGCAAAGGGCATGGTCAGCTCTTATAGTTGAGACAAACCAGGAAAAACGGTGGGTTTCCATGCTCTGTGACACTAAGCTGCTTTATCTGTCAAATGAATATGACAATGAGAATGTCACAGCCTTATTGTGATTATGAAAGGTAATGTGTGTCTGCATAGAAAGTTCTCAAAATGGCAGCTATCTGACGGCTTGGGGTTCAACTTCCCCTTGAACTTCATTGTTCAGCGTACTTCACTACCAACACGCCATCAAACAATTTAGGCTAGACTCTATCAAAATGAAGTGTTGTCACCTAGTTGACTTATAATTTTAAAATACATCACTGATAAATACTAAAAACAGAGATAATTTCTTAAAGTCATCTGTGTTAGTAAATGTGATTTACAGCAAATTAACTATTATGAGCTTTAGTACTAAGGTACTCAGATAATTTTACAATTATATGACTACATAGAAACTGGAATAAAGACTATGTTTGTGATGTGCTGAGAACAGCATCTTTTGTACGTGCACTCATATCTCTATTATAAGAATTAAAGTAGTATGTCTTATATTTCAATAGTACTGTTCTAAAGACATAAACAAAAAATCTGTCTTTATGATTAGGAAAGTTTTTCCTGGCCAAAAGTATCAGAGCGTAAGTTTTAAATATTCTGATAACTTTAAATTTAATTGTGCTTTGTCACCAGTATACATAACATGTACCTTTTAAAAAAGCATTATTAAATAAAATGAATAACTAATTTAATGTGAGAGGGATCCTGAATAATATTAATATGATTACCAAATGTATTTATTTTATAATTTCAATTTTTAAAATGAATAATTTGGTGGCTCTAAGTAAGATAAGAAGCCTTATCTCTAATGACTGGAAACCTGAAGTTTGCAGCATCCATGATATTTTTAAAATAGCGAAAACTAAGGAAGTCTTTTTTCATTGAAATAGGATATTAAAAGTCTACTTTGAATAACATAAATCTTAAATGAATGCCTCAGAACAATTTTTAAAAGGCAATTAAATCTGGGGGAAGGAAGAGAATGAGAACAAGGGAATCAAATCCATTGTATTTTGAATGTACTTTTGTGTATGACTTGAAGCTCAATGGAGCTTGTGAACCATTAACTTCAATTACACTGAAGACTCCAAACAAATCATTGCTATTGTAAATCTCATTAATTTTAAACACATGGGGACTGGAATAAATGGACTTTGAATTAACTCAATCCAAATTACCTAATATTAAAATATAATTGGAATTCAGTTGCTGTAAATTGCTTCCCAGTCTGAAAGGCAGAACAGATTGCTATACTAAGGTTTATTACAATTTTATCTAGCTTTAAAATTTCATAATAATATTTCTATCAGGTATGAAATGGGAAACTAAAGTAATTTTACTGATGTTTCTATATATGTTCTTAAAACTTGGGAACCTTTTATCAAATTTCAGCTCTTTAAGAGAGAAATTTTAGCCCTAGCCAGCTTGGCTCAGTGGATAGAACGCCAGCCTGCGGACTGAAGGGTCCCAGGTACGATTCCAGCCAAGGACACATGCCTGGGTTGCGGGCTCCATCCCCAGTATGGGGTGTGCAGGAGGCAGCCAATCAATGATTCTCTCACATCATTGATGTTTCTATCTCTCTCTCCTTCTTCCCTTCCTCTCTGAAATCAATAAATATATTTTTTAAAAAAGAGAAATTTTACTGTGAGTTCATTAAACTTAAATTCCAAACACAGAAGTGTCAAATGCTAAATATGTCTACTAATACATTGTTTTTGGTAAAATGATAATTTCCTTAGTTCTAAGTCTCTTCTTGCAATCACTTCTATGGTGATGAGGCAAAATGTGATTTTAATATCAACTAATAAGAAGGATACATATAAATAATAAAAGAAGTATATTGCTAAATAGTAAGAATTGAAAAATAGGTTTCTAAAATGAGACCACATATTCTAAAAACAAAGATAAATTATTTTGAAAAGGTCTGACAGTTTTTGGAAGTTTGGTATTATTATCCCCATCCACTTGTAAAGAGTGAAGTCACTGTATGAAAATACTATTATAGTAATTTTGTATTACTTATACCAGCCTTCACCATATTTTATTAGTTTATATAATATCTAAGTGTTTGAGAGCTACATTTCAATAGGGCACCTATTATTAACAAATCCAAAAACTGTTCATCATAGGATACATGTTCATGCATTCTCTGTACCTCCAAGTTACTTTCATGGAATAGGTAACATCATTATTTAAGCCAATCCACCTTGAAAATGTGTGATATGCACATGCAGCTTGTGAATACTGATACCTGAGAAGAAATGCGCTTTGAAGCCCTTCTTTGATACAGTGTTGTCAGATTTGAACTCAATTCTCATGTTGTTGAACTGGGATGTGATCACTTCAGGTACTTCAGCACCACAAAATTTGCCATGCAATTTAGAATCAGAGGAAAGGCCACTCCAAATCTCCACATAATCGTATTTGCAAACCTAGTAAAAAACACACATGGTCATTATAGTCACAAGATTTGGAAGTATCAGATAACTGACATTTTTTTTTAATTTCCTTTTTTTTTATTGCTTAAAGTATTACAAAGAGTATGACATATGTCTCCCCCCCCCCCTTGACAATCCCCCAGTCTCCCTAGTGTCTTATGTCCATTGGTTATGCTTATATGCATGCATACAAGTCCTTCGGTTGACCTCTTACGCCCCCGCCCTAATTTTATTTTTCAATTACAGTTGATATTCAGTATTATTTTATATTAGTTTCAGGTGCACAGCATAGTGGTTAGATAATCATATACTTTACAAAGTGGTCCTCCCAATATTTCAAGTATCCACTGCCACCATATTTGGTTATTACAATATTATTGACTATATTTCCTATGCTGTATTTTCCATTAAATTGGAATTGATAGGTAACCAAAAAAATCAAGGAAAGGGCCCAACTATGAGACAGAAATGTGTGCTTGTTTATATATATTTATAGCGTATATCTTATATATCTTTTTAAATGTTCAAATATTTAAGTTTTCACTAGGAACTGTGAAAAAATTTGTCATTTACCATCTTATTCAATGCTGACAACAGCTACATGAAATTTAGTCCATGAAGTAACCATTAGCAATAGACATGATCTTTTCTATTGTAAAGATGAGGAACCTGAGGCTCATAAATTTTATATAACTTGCCCAAACTTATACATCTTATACATTGCAGTGTGGTGATTGATAACATGGAATTTGGCTTGGTCCAGAGCTGCCTCCCAGAAACTTCATTCTAACCAGAACAACACCATTAGGAAATTTCAAAGTAAGACACTGGTATATAATAAAAAAGATCCTTTGCCTTTCAAACTTATCAAACAAACTGATATTTCTTTTTTTAAAAAAATATTTTTATTCATTTCAGAGAGGAAGGGAAAGGGAGAGAGAGATAGAAACATCAATAAGAGAGAATCACTGACCGGCTGCCTCCTGCACACCCCGGACTGGGGATCGAGCCCATAACTCTGGCATGTGCCTTTGACCAAAATCAAACCCGGGACCCTTCAGTCTGCAGGCCAATGCTCTACCCATTGTGCCAAACCAGCCAGGACCAAACTGATGTTTCTTAATTTCTTTGAGTTGCTCGGCAGCATTGCTGCAGGACTACAAACAACATAATTCTATACAGTGAGATGGAGGCAGACATTTATACTAAAAAGAGATAGAATTTATATGTAATATACAAACACCACCAAAGTGGCAGAAGCTAAGTGAATGCCAGGTATTCTTAAGCAATCTTATGGCCACTAACAGATGTTTCCATCATACAATTCTAAAGTTTCGACAGGGCACATTGAAGAACACATCTGGCATGAATGACCTTATTACAAAAATGTGTAATTAGCAACACATAGGATTGAACCCTGGGGTATGGTCTGTACCTTGTAATATGTCAACCCAAATTACCAGTTCTTGGGTTTTAATTAGGTGATAAATTAGCAAGATATTGCTAGAAAAAATGAAATATTTTTTCTATCTACTTTGTTACAGCTGCAACTTTTGTTTAGAGAGGCCTCTGACATTGGATAGGAGAATGTAACCAAGGCCAAAGGTGTTTGACATCGACTTTCCTTTTGGAAATCCATTTAATGAATAAAATAACTACGTTTTAGCTAAACTCAGTATTCTATACAGTCAGGTTTTTGCGCATGCCTTTGTTTTAAATACTTAAGACATCCAACTATGAAAATACACAGAATTTTGTAACATCCTTCCACACAGGGACATCATTATATGTTTAAGACTCTAAGATATGTTACTGAGTCTGAATGGGTTTTCCATGAATAAAGACCATTACCATGAGAAAAATGCTTTTCGAACACAAATCTCCATTTACTTAGAGCCACCACCCCCAAACCATCCCCGCTTCCTCCTGAATATAAACTTCTAGCCTTCTTAGGAACATTTATCAATGAATGAATCAAAACATCCTATCTGCCACAACCAATAGCTTTAGGGAAAACTGAAAGAATAGAAGTCATTCAACATAAAGTTCATATCAAACTATAGCCCTGGTAGGGAGATTCCCATTTTCAAAAAGTGTCACTCATATGAAAGCTCTTCTAAAAATACTATAAAAATTATTTTTGTCATTCAAATTTCCTCTACATTTCAGATAAGACTAAAGGAAAAGAATGTTCCCTGTGGATAGAGTATGTTGTGAATATAAACTGTGGTCTTTCCCATCATAAAATGTATACATGATGTAAAGAAGATCTCAAAATGTCCAGTGAGCCCTAGAAGTCTACAGTTCTCTGAAATAAAAATGTTAATCACATTTCAGACTTTAATTTCCTTTAAGGAAACACAAAAATCAGCAACTTCTTTTTACCTTGAAGCCATTGGTGAGAGGTTTAAAATCACACAGCAGCACCTTTCAAATAAATCATTTCATTTGTTTAAATGTGGTCACCTGACAGAAAACTGTACCATCACTACAGTAAGTTTTTGTAAAGGAAAGATAGCATCAATTAAGTGCATTTTTATTGAGGTTAAAAATATTAATTTTGTAAATCAAAGACAATATCAACTAAAGTTACCTTTTATTAAGGGTAAAGTATTAACCTTCCCTTATTTGTGAACAGGGAACAAATTCATAATAAAATACTAGTTATGTAATGAAAACATATCCATTGCCACAAGTCAAATATACTGCCTTCTCCCAAAAGAATATTTTTGTTATGACTCAACCAGTGGATTTTGGTTTATTTTCGTTTTAGAAAAGTCCATGTGACATGAAGCTGACCTTAATGTTCTCAAAATTCTTTAGAAAGACTACAATATCTATACCATGTACCACCAAAATACATTCTTTCTTTCCTTACATTTTTAGTTTATCAGTTTGCCTTCAGGAAATCCAAAAACACAATAGAAAAAAATTATATTTGTTATTCACTTACTTCATTGCCCTCCAATTCAAAAAACTCAAACTTCACAGAAATTCTGTACTGAGTTGGCGCAACCACTTGCCACACACAGTTTTTATTAGGAGGGTACTCCTTGGGCCAACCTGGAGTGGTTATGGTGCCATTAAGTTTGGTAAGAAGTCCACCACAAGCCGCTAGAAGAAAAGAAAAGGAAACCATTTTTCCTTAACAAAGTCATCTTATCACCTTCCCATTGATAACCCAACATCTCAGCATTAAATTTCAACCATCTTTCAGATTTTTCAAGATGTAGAGCATTGCAGTCTCTGTTCCTTAGACTTTAGTACAACTATTTTAATCATCTAGTCCCACTTATAAACTGCTATTTCGTAGCGTTGGAACCAAGTAAAGTATGGTTGTACTATAGGATTTTAGATCATCTTAAAGTTGGGTGATCAATATAAGGAAAACTGGGTGTCTGCATCCTTGTCTCTTTTAAAAATATATTTTATTGATTTCAGAGAGGAAGGAAAGGGAGAGAGAGAGAGAGAAACATCAATGATGAGAGAATCATTGACTGGCTGCCTCCTGCACGCCCCACCCTGGGGATTAAGCCTGCAACCCGGGCATGTGCCCTTGACCGGAATCGAACCCAGGACCCTTCAGTCCACAGGCCGATGTTCTATCCATTGAGCCAAATCAGCTAGGACTCATTGTCTCTTAAATGGCTATAATAATATCTACACCATATGGTAGTTGTGAGAATCAATGAAAAGTACAGGTAAAGCACAATGGGGTCTGATGCTATAAGACCACCATCAATTGGTTATTTCTTTATACTCTTTTTTCCCAACACAAGCAATTCTTGGCAACAGTTGTTTGTGTAGCAAGCAAGATAAACTATACTAAATATAACATAGCTATTATTAAAAAAATCCAATTAGAAGTATTTTTTCCCTTTTGGACGAGCTATTTAAAAGACGTACTATTTATGTTACCATTCTTCCTCACTGAGAGGGAGTTCAGCAAAAATCAGGGAATCCAAGAGGAAGCTGAGTGAAAAGAATATGTATTGTATTTGGTTTACAAATAATTGCTAGGGAGTCAAGAGTTACCCAAAGTAACTGTTCTCTGCTTTCATTGCCCTTGTGTGTGTGTGTGTGTGTGTGTGTGTGTGTGTGTGTGTGTGTGTGTGTGATGGGGCAAAAGTAGGTTTACAGTTCTAATATATGAAACTGTTTATTCTTATATTATTTTTTATTATTGCATTATTTTTCATACGAACACTGTAAACCTATTTTTGTCTATCTATCTATCTATATACACACACATACACATATATACACATATATACACATATATATACAAACACACACACACACACACATATATATATCTTAAGCTTAAACTTTTAAGAAAAAACAGAGTCCTTGATTTTATAAATAGGTCACTGGGGTGTGGCATTTATTCATTAAACAAATAATTCTGCCCCCTTTGCCACTTTTTATGTCCTCTGTTACAGATACAATAGCGAACAAGGTGTTCATGTGTAGGGAGCTTACATTTTTGTTGGAAACAAAAATAGCCTCAATACATACATAAACATGAATAATAATAAAATGTCTCAAGTTTTATGAAAATGATTTTGGTAGAAATCTTCAGAGAGGAAAAAATGAGGAACAGAATGGAGGAAGCAGATCAATTTATGTATTTTGTCTGTTACTCGAGCATGAGGCCTTCAGTGTGGAACAGGGGAAACGGAAGAGTCAGCTTTAACTTCTGAAGGAAGAGATCATAGGACATCGCAACAAAACACCGTACGAGAAATCTCATCTTAGAATTACAGAGGAAATGCAGAAAACATGACAAAATGTCTTTGTTTATGAATCTTTTATTAAAAAGGTGTATTCAGTTTCTGCTTTATGTCTGACTGTGCTAGATGCTGGAAATACAAAGATGACTAAGAGTCAGGACTCTGCAGTTCAATAAGGGAGACACACCATAAATTATGTTTAAGAAAATGTAATAGTAAGTGATAGATGAATGGATAAGAGGATAAAAATATAGGTTCAGAGAGAAATAAAAACGGAAATAAATAGTTACATAGATGATAGATAGATAGATAGATAGATAGATAGATAGATAGATAGATAGATAAATAGGTAGGTAGGTAGATAGGTACATAGGTAGGCAGACAATTGGTCTGGTTAGTAACCAAAGGTGGAAACGACTGATTTTAAAATGAGAAGCCAGGCAGTTTCACATTAGCTGTGACTAAACATTGAGTCTTACTAGTTGAGGAAAGAAGTTATGATAAAGGAAAGGAAAGGAAGAGAAAAGGAAAGGAAAGAAAGAAAGGAAATGAGACTTTAATGAAAGAAAGAAATTAGGTCGAGGGTTTCAGCAGGGAGCTCCAAGTGCAAACCCAGTCATACCTTCACAGCTCCTTTTGTCAGGCCCCAGCTCATAGCCAGGCTCACACGCACACTGGTAACTGCCCAGGGTGTTCAGACATCGCTGCTCACAGCCTCCACGGTCAGGCTTGGCACACTCGTCTTCCTCTATAAAGACGGCATGAGTTAGAGAATGACTGGAGTATTTTGTTTTTATATACTAAGGTGTAAGGTTTTTTGAAATTATGATATGCTTAATAGCTCTGGATGAAAATGAGCCAATTAATAGTGTCAACAAAGGAGCAGGAACAATTTGCAAGCCCTTAATAGATGAAAAACAAGAATTCATGTCACTGCATCCTAAGGACATGTAAGAACCAAGAGAAGTACTAGAAACCTAGAGCAGGGCCAACTGCAGAGCACCATATCTCAGACACAGTATTATTATTTTTCAGAATGAAACAGAAAAACTTTCTGAAAAAAACACAGCTTCACCTGCTGGTATCATAGTATAGTTTTCTAGATATCCATTTTAAAGAAATATGTCATGGTGAATATAAATTAAAAAGGAAAAACTCAGGAACTTACTGGACCTCTTTAAATGTAAAGCACTCAGTGTTTTTATATAGACATATTAATCCAAAAAATATAATTTCATATTTTTACACCAATATACTTTTAATTATATATGAAACAAAAATGTACTATATGAAAATATATATTCTTAGTAAAAAAAATAGACATTCTAGGTATTCCACTAAGAGACCATAAATGTTTTCCAATGTAGTAAAAGCCATTCTATAATGGGTGATTTGGACATGCTGTCACCTAGAAATAAATTGATGAACTACAAGTCAGTATGAATTCTTTGTTGACTATACTGCAAATATTTTCTCCCAGTCTATAGATCCCTTTCTGAATTTTACTTTGTCTATTTCATTTTAAAATGGTAGAATATCCTAACAGAACTAATACCCTAATACCCTGTGCAACAATGTCCCAAATTCTAGTATTTTACCAATAATCATTGTCCTCAAAACCCATCAAAATCCCCTTATGAACAGCGTATACTTCAACTTTCAATAAAACTTTTGTCCCTACCTCAAAGCTAAATGTCACATTTATCCTGGACAAGGAAAATCTCACATTTCAAATTATTTTAAATTACCTTTAAAAAAATTGGCAGCAAACCCTGCCTTGTTCACAGTCCCATCAGAAACAAACTTCATCCACAAGGTGTTGGAGGTAGACCTGATATCTTCAGGTTTATCATAACCACAGAAACGCCCTATCAAAGGGCTATTCTCTTTGGTCCCATCTCGAACTTCTAGGTAGTCATAGGCACAGTTGTCATGTCTTTCAATCTTAAGAGAGTAAAAGTATGTGAACATATGTCTCATTAATAGATAAAACAATTTCTATAGTAAGATTATTATGTATTCCCAGTGCCATAATACTGATATGGTCATATAACAGATTGCTATCTTACAAGTGTGCATGGTGATTATCTACACTGCCCATGGATAAAAGACCCATATTATTCTGCTAAATGTGGAGAGATAAAAAACAAATCTACAGAACAATACATCTGTATGCATCTGGATCAACAAAAGTTAAACTGCCTTTTAAAAGAAAATTAAAATACAAGTGGTAATTCTTTAGAAAATAGAACAGATAACATATCCATACTTATAATGGTCCTTAAATGTCTGGGCCAGATTATGCTACAAGAAGTGTAAAATTTTCTCAGGAATATAGGTATAACAACTGCCCGTTGTTAATCAAAGAAATGGTTATTTTATTCAAAGAAAGCTGCATTCAAATTCTATTGGCAAATATTACACTGTTTTAGGTTATAGATATATTTTTGAGGGAAAGTCTGATAATATGGATTACATTACTTCCCAGTCAATGGAATTATTTACCGATAGTTAGCATAGTTACATGTAGAAAGACCACCGTACTGTAGAGTCAGCACTGGCGAGGCCTTTCTCCAAGTACTTCGGCTGACGTAGATGAGCCCTTTTACCTCAACACACTCCCCTCAACCCATATTAAGTGGCAGAACTCAATGTATCTTCTTCAACAACTAAATGCAAATGGTAGATCAGACTATTGGCCTATGAAACTTACGGAGAACTGTAAGTTCCTGGACTCATGTTTTTGCCTGGAACTACTTCTAAAAGCAACAGAGCCAAAATTTACAAATTATTTTAAAAGCTATGAGACAATTTCTAAATAAAATTCTTGCTTTTTTATTTTATTTTTTTACAGAAAGGAGGCACTCATCCTGAAATTTTAATAGAGTCAAATGCTTATTAGACATCTGAAGCTAGAGAACCATGAAAAGTATTCCATCTTGTGAACCACTGCCTGACATACACTTTGCTGATATATAGAATTCGGTTGCAAAATACAGTCATTCATGGAACTACAACCAGAAGGCACAGAAATACTACATAGTTGTTGGAAGAATCTGTTTCCTGAATTGTCAAACATTAATAGCAACAGTCTTCAAATTAAGTAGCATAAGGACAAAAGACAAAAAATTGATTTTTAAAGCACAGATTTGGTTAGAACTAAGAACTACATTTGCTGCTTCCTTTTCCCAATCACAGTAGGATTCCTTCAACAGTCAGTGCCTATTCTCTGCCAGGCACTCTTCCCACTGCTTGGAAGGCACCATTCAGCAGAATGACAGCGCCCCACCCTCATGGGACTTAGCTACTTCTGGTGGGTTGAGAGCAAAGGAACAATCAACAGGAAAATAATAAAATCATAAACTATTAGAAAGTAATACATTTTATGGAAAAATATAAAGTGGAACAAGAGGTAAGAGAAGTTGGGGGTAGGAGGCGTGAACGTTGCTCCATCAGGCTCATTAAATTTGATTAATAAATTCAGACTTTTCCCTAAAAATGTATTCTCTTTCTGTGTGAGATTATGGGAATGAATAGAAAATATTTAATATAAATAACATCTCATTTTTTAAACACACTTTTTTAAAAAATATATTTTATTGCTTTTTTACAGAGAGGAAGGGAGAGGGATAGAGAGTTAGAAACATCGATGAGAGAGAAGCATCGATCAGCTGCCTCCCACACCCTCCCCACTGGGGATGTGCCCGCATGGGCACATGCCCTTGACCGGAATCGAACCTGGGACCCTTCAGTCCCCAGGCCGATGCTCTATCCAGTGAGCCAAACCAGCCAGGGCTTAAACACACTTTTTAAACTGTAGCTGTTTAAATGGAGAGACGGGGAGGGAGAGCTAGCAATAACTAATTAAGGCACTAGTAACTTAGTCACTGGAGATGACCAGGCCAATCTGATCAGCGATATATATGCTTTCTTCTCGTCGCTTTTAATATACTCCTTTCAAAATCAAAGTTCTCTATAAAGATGAGACCATTTCCAGATGGCCAAAGGCTATTCTTCAGTCAAGGGACATATAAAATAACATCTAAAGCTCTCAAGGTGTAGGGCTTGATGGAAGAATAAGCAACATCGAACTAGAGACAAAACTGCAGGGAAAATAACCCATGTTCTCAGCAAGCCATCCTACACTCACTTGCTTAAAGCAGCACAGAATGAACTGCCCCTGACTCATGAATCATATTGGAAGGGGGTAGGAGGAGCTAGAAGAGGAAAGGAAGAGAGACCACACAATGAAGGAAGAAGCTCCTGTGGTAGGAAATCAACTAATAGAAACAGAATTACACTGCAGCATAAAAATTAAGAAGATTAATTTAAAAAGCTTTTTAATTACTATTTTAGGAGATTACTGCTTTTAAAAATTACAATATTACAACGAGAAAAACAAAAGACACTATTGAAAAATGAAACAAAAATTTATATTTCTTCAGTGATTGAAAAGAAATAAGATAATGGATATTTCCCTGTAAATAAAACTCAGTCTATTTTTTAACAGATATGCAATAGATCATTTTAAATTTTAACTTAAAGTATAGTCACTGGCTACTTAATAAGTTTAAATAATTTATATGAAACACAAGGATAAATATTTCATGATCAATTGTAGGATTGATTCCACTGGTAGCTATTTATGAATTATGTATTACTTACATATTAAATATTATGCACCTGGTGTTATGGATAACACAATAGAAATATGCACTGTATTCTCACATAGTAAAGGCTACAGTTGTTGAATTACTTAGAAAGTAAAATGTGCCTCATACAAATGAATTTATAATATTCAGAAATGCATAACTGGTTCACCAACCATCCTGGATAACTTATCAATGACCTCAATGACCTTTGTTTACATATTTTTCCAGCTTAACTGAATTAACCCTAAGTGGAATGCCAGCACAATGAATCTGTTATATTGGTGTCATTATAATTATACCTTTTCAACTACATCTCCACAGAAGTAATGGTGAGCACAAATGAAAGTGTCAGTTATTGTATTTATGTCACTTGCGTAGCATTTGCTCCAGCTATTTCAATTATTTAATCAAACAATATACTGATTGGCTAGAAATAAATATGGTTGAAGCTAAAAAGTGAATAAGTGTATTGATATTATGCCGGTAACTTTAAGCTCCATGAGAAAAAGAATATCAAATTCAGTGATTTATAAAAACAGTAAAAAAAAAAAAAAAAAAAGGAGTTTCTTCTTGAGTTATAGCCTGGACACAGTTCACGTGTATGTGACCTGAATGCAATGCCATGCACAGCTGCACATACAATAAATTTGTTTGGATAATGATGATGTTAATTTATTACAGACTTTAAGGTAACCAAACCATATATGAATGTGGCCAAGTTTATCTCAATGTAAACAGACCTAACATGCATATACAAAATACAATGAAAATGATAGTAAGCTTCTAATATATTTAGAGAACTGATATTTAGGAGATATTGGAAGTAGACGCAAATACACAAAGAGGGAAAAACAAGTACACAGATTAGTGAGAAGGGATTAAGGTTACATTTCGTTACTCAGTGGGGGCTCCTGCCTTTACTAGCAGGTTAGAGAGGGAGCATGAAAAAGCCGAGCAATTTCCAATTGGCAAGAACTAAAATCAATTATAGGCCATCTAACGTGGTCAGCCTCGCATTCTAGAACTGCCTGGCGGTGCAAAGCTTTGTGGTCAGTGCATGTGGGTGAGCGCCGACACTGAAGGAGAGCCAGCCTGGAGGAAGGACTATGCCTCTGCACAGGACCCATTCATGCACTTTGCTTCCATTTTATAACCAAATTTCTAAAAATAAACATAACACTGCAAAAATATGTACTGCAGTACCTAATTTGTAGAAAGCTTGAAAAGTTTCCAGATAATATTTCCAATAAAAGCTCTCCTATGTTCCCTGAAAAATTAAAAATAGAATTCCCATGTGATTCAGCAACCCCACTTCTAGGTATATAACCCCAAAATTGAATGCAGTGTCTCAAGGAGATATTTGTAAATCCAAGTTTACAGCAGTATCATTCACAAGAGTCAAAAGGTGGAAGCAATCCACATGTCTGTCAACAGATTTATGCATAAACAAAGGTGGTACATAAACACAATGGAATATTATTCAGCCTTAAAAAGGGAGATGCCCAGGCAGCATGGCTCAATGGTTGAGTGTTGACCTATGAACCAGGAGGTCATGGTTGGATTTCAGGTCAGGGCATATGCCCGGGCTGTGGGCTTGATCCCCAGTGTGGGGCGTGCAGGAGGCAGCCAGTCGATGATTCTCTCTCATATTAATGTTCCTATCTCTCTCTCTCCCTCTCTGAAATCAATCTATATATCTACATCTATCTATATCTATCTATCATCTATCTATCTATCTATCTATCTATCTATCTATCTATCTATCTATCTATTACAACATGGATGACCCATGAGGATATTACACTAGTAAAATAAGCAGTCACAAAAAGGCAAATATTGTATGAGTCCAATTACATGAAGTATCAGAGCAGAGTAGATAGTCATAGAGAGAGAAATGAGAAGAATGGTTGCCAAGAGTTGGGGTAGGGGAGAAAGGGAGGTTGTTGTTTATTGCGTGTAGAGTTTCAGTTTTGCAAGAGTTCTGGAGAGGGATGGTGGTGATGGTTGCACAACAACCTGAATGACTTGACACTACTGAACTATACACTTAAAAATGGTGAAAATTGTATATTTTATATTATGTCTATTTTACCATAACAAAAAAACATAACCCTCTCCCGTGACTGTTAGTGTGTAGCTTAAAAATATAATTAATGCAATCAGCTCCTAAATGATTAAACTTTTATAGAAAATATCTTGTGAAATTATATACATTTGGAATAATGCTCAAGTAATTATTCTTTTTAAAATATATTTTATTGATATTTTAGAGAGGGAGGAAGGGAGAGGGAT